ATGGAGTAAAGGAATGGCAGCTTGGAAAAGCCTTACAGAAACTTTCATCTTGGCATGTGAACTAGCATTGTCTTCGCCTTCAGAAACAGAAAAATAGCATCACACAATAAAGCATTTCATTGTTCCTACAGTCTTTGCTCACTCAGTTCTTTTTGAACTACTGAAGCTGAAGGGATTCTCCTTAACGACTATCTTGTCCAGAGATATGGCTGCTGGAGTACTTGGATTTGAGGTTGAGTCTGGTCTCAGTGAAGAACAAGACAGTCATCGACTAGTGATGTCTGGCATGGAAAAGATCTAGGTACTCCTGCATGGTGCACTAGGTTCATTCTTAACAGTCTAAACCCTCATTTTACAGAAAACTGAGGGTCAGGAAGCTTAAGTGTTCACTGCCATATAAGGCACTGACAGAGCTGTGATTGTTATTCAGGTTTCTGGTGTCCAAGCCTCAAGTTTTACTCAGGTCTTCCACACAATGGTGACAAGAAATAATATAGTAACAGGTTGTGTTCCTAGAAGTTGTTCGTCTGGTGTCTACAGTTTCCCAGGTGCTCCCCCAACTTTAAATTCAGAAGATGCCATAAAGGACTATTTTCTAATGCTGTCCTTGTGTGATCGTTTATAGAGTTGGGATTACACCTAAACATTTATAGCTTTGACTGCAACTTTTCCCCAAGATTGACCTGGGGTTTGCAATTTGTGGGGACAAGTGATAAAAATAAATAACTTCATTTAGCGTTGATGAGCAGGGCAAGTCCCTCAAGACAACTACCAATTTGAAAAACAATAAAAATACTCCAAGCTCAGGACACCCCCTGTCACAATACAAAGAGGTAAACCAGGCTTGTGCACCAAAGAAGTAGATATTCCAGTGGAGGAAGCTTCCCTGCGTGGTGAACAGAGCAGCTGGTGAGCTTGAACCACTGACCTTGCAGTTCAAACGGCTCTGCAGTCTGGCGCATTAACCCACAGTGCCACACCAGGTGAACAGTTGTTGTCGTCAAGTGCCATCAAGACGATTCCGACCTATAGTGACCCTGTACAGGGTTTCCAAGGAGCAGCTGGTGAGCTTGAACCGCCGACCTTGCAGTTCAGACGGCTTTGCAATCTGGCGCATTAACCCACAGCGCCACACCAGGTGAGCAGTTGTTGATGTCAAGTGCCATCGAGTCGATTCCAACCTATAGCGACCCTGTATAGGGTTTCCAAGGAGCAGCTGGTGAGCTTGAACCACCGACCTTGCAGTTCAAACGGCTTTGTAGTCTGGTGCATTAACCCACAACGCCATACAACATAAAAGTCAGTTCATTCCAACATGCTGATGCTAGCCATGGTTCTGACATCCCGAGGACTCTGAGATCCACAATGAAGGCAACAGAGTAGACAGTAAGCCACCCAAACTCCCCACCTTTGTCTTATTCAATGCTGCGTACAACAGAAATACCACAAATGGATTCCTTTCACAAACACAAGTTTATTCTGTCACAGTTTAGGAGGCTACAAGTCCACAGGCAGAGTGATGGTTCTAGGGGACTTTCTCTCTTCATTGGCTCTGGAGAAAAGCCCTTGTCTCCTTCCAGTATCTGTAGATCCAGCATTCCCTGGCAATCTCCATGTATCTTATCATCAATCTGTTGCTGATCTAGGAGCTTCAGAGTGCAGGGACCCCAAGTTCAAAGGACATACTGCACTCCCAGCTCTTCTTTCTTGGTGGGAGTAGGTCCCATAGTCTCTGCTCACTTCTCTCTCCTTTTATCTTTGTAAGATGGAAGAAGCTGCAGGCCACACCTCTGGGAAACTCCCTTACATCCGATCAGTGATGTAATGGGATTAGCGTATTGCAGCCCATCATTTTCACTGGTTTATCACATCAGATCACATCCTGGGGGATTATCACATAGACCTCCACATTATATCATTATGTTGCTGTTGTTGTTAAGCACTGACAAGTTGATTCTGACTCAGAGACCCCGTATAGGGTTTCTGAGAAGGGTCTGGTGGGTTTGACCAGGCAACCTTGCGATCAGCGGGCCATCATTATATACCTGCCAAACCACAGAGAATCATAACTCAACCAAGTTAACACACATTTTGGTGTGTGTGTGTGTCGGGGTGTGAAATTCAATCTATGACAGACACTGGAGCTATTTCAATTCACAGCAGTCCTGTATAAGGCACCCGAGGCTGTACATCTTTAAGGGAGCGTAAGGCTCGTTTTTCTCCCATGGAACGGCTGGTGGGTTTGAACTGCCAACCTGCAGTTAGCAGTCCAGTGCTTATCCTACGGTGACACCAAGGATGCAGACATCTTGGGCAGGGCTGGGGAGGGAGAACACTTTACCATCACCTTCAACTTCTATCGGTGGTCACCTGAGAATTCTCCTCCTACCTATCCCCAGCACAGTATGCAGAGAGTCAGATGTAGGAGGTGGCAGCAAGCAATGTCCATGAGGGAAGAAGGCCTGGGGTGGGTAATTGTAAAACCAGTGTTGGAGTCAACTGAATTCCCCTCACTTCATGAAGGAACATAGAGAATCGTCATCCACATCAGCTCAAAGCTGATTCCTACAAGGTAGAAGTCAATCTCCTCTCTCCAACCTGCTTCCCAATTCTGATGCCAGCTGTCCCTCCCTCGACACTCTCTAATCCTCTGTTCAGTTTAATAATTCACTGCAATGCCACAGACCTCACAGACCACAACGACAAGGTTAACTAAAAAGTAAGCAAACCACAAGGTCGGTAGTTTGAACCCACCAGCTGCTCCGTGGGCAAAAGATGAGGTTTTTCTGCTCCCGCAAAGAGTTAAAGCCTTGGAAACCCTATACAGGGTCCCCATGAGCCGGAACGAACTAGAAAACACTTGACCACAACAACAAAGATGAAACAGTTACAATTCAGGCTCAGAAACAACTCAGGATACAATTCTTCAGTCAAGATAGCACTCAGTCTGCGCATGCAGGCAGATCTCTTTCTTGGTCCAGCCTCTGTCCTGCTTGGGCAAGTGGACAGAGTTGTAAGTGCCCAGAGGCAACTGACTGTACCAGGAAACCTCCAGCATGAAGGCCCTCAGCTCTCTCACTCTGTGGATTGACAAGCCAACTGTAACCACCTTGCTCCATGGGCCATGAAGCCCAATGCACTGTCTCAAACAGGGCTCCTGATTCTGCTGCCACCATTCCTCTACCATTGCTTACTGCTGACTCATACCATTTCTGGTTTTAAAGCTTTCTCTGGATCCTGGGTTTAGGAGGGTCTCGACTTGGGGACGCTGGATCCAAAGGGCATTCTTTTTGGTGGTACTGAGGTTCCATTTCTGCTCTGGGATTGGCTCTTTTTTACAGATATGTGAAACTAACCAATTGCCTAGTTAGTCCATACACTTTATTTGCATTGCCCCACCCACACAAAGGTGCCATGCACCTTATTTGAATTATCAGCATGCATTCCAATCCCTCAGGTGAGTCACAAACACATTATGTACATAGCCACAACCAACCAATTGGTGAGAGTTACAAGGCTAGAGCTGAAAAGGCCATATAAAAGGAATCCATCACACCTTAATAACATAAGAAGAGATGAGTACTATAAACAAATTTGGGTCCATGTATAAGGAGCTCTGGTAGCGTAGTGATTACGAATCAGGCTGCGAGCCACAAGGTCAGCAGTTCGAAACTACCAGCTGTTCCACGGGAGAAAGATGAGGCTTTCTGCTCCCGTAAAGATTTCTAGCCTCGGAAACCCTGTACAGGGTTGCAATGAGTCGGAACAGACTCCACGGCACATAACAACAACAACATCTTAGATAAAAGGTGGTGGTCCCTGCTTAATTTCAGGTAGGAAAGCAGACTTGTGTTGCCAGGTCTTCTGAATTTTCCAGAAACATTAGAAACTTACATTATGGAAATGTTATTTTTAAATGGTAGCTAAACAAACAAACAAACAAAAAACTTGTGAGAGCTTAACTATTAGGAACTTTTGACACTTGCTGCTAGGAAGCTCAGAAAGCAATTTGCCATCCACCTCCAACAAGAAGTGGTCAGCTGGAGGTTGCAGAACTGGACAATACAGAAGTGAGCACACCACATGCATCCTTGGCAAGCTACCTGCCACCTCATTTTTCTCCAACCCAGTTTCTTCAGCCCTTCCCTGCTTGTCAGACTGCCCTGCACACAGCAGACATGCAGTCAGCTCCCACTAACAAACCCTATGAGTTTCACAGAGTCCCGCTCCACAGATTTAGACACCTCTGGGTGGATGCAATGCCCAACTTAACAGTAAACCATTTGCATCACCCAGCAGTCTCACGAATTCATTAGCTGAAGAAGCAAATTAAAAAATAATTTTAAAAACCATTTCTCCAGTCTTCTACATTCTATTTTTGAAAATCACGTTCTTTTCTTTCTTTTTTATTTTATTTTTTCCTAACAAGGCAGAGTACTTGGATAAATGAAACATTTAAGACCTTTTCCCAGTCATTTCAAGAGCTAGGGAAGTTTTCTGTTAAGTATGAAATGATTGCAAAATAAAGTTTGTTTTAAAACAAATAGAAGAGTGAAGCAGCAAAGAAGAGCGTTCAGTGAGTTAACCTCACTTGTTCGTTCGTCTAGCTTCGTACCAAAATTCACAGGTTACAGATTTAAGGTGAGTTCAACCTTGGGCAGAGTGGGGAGAAAAATAAAGAAAGAGCCCAGGAGTTTGAGCCTCAGCTCAGCACCCCCCGCGAACCCCCCTCCCCAGACATTTTTCACTTTCTTTATCACCTACCAGCTGTCCTTTAGCATTCTCACCCGCTGCTGCCCACCCTCAGGGTGGCGGGGGTTATCTCGCTCTCCATCAAAAGTCCCGGAACATTCCTTCCCATAGAGCCAGGCCAGGCTCCCAGCAGGAAATCCAAGACCCTCCCGGGATGGGGTGGAGTTGGAGGGCATTCACGTACTTGCTCTCCCCTTCTCTACCACTTGGGAAACCTCAACTTTCCCCTACAGATCCTGACCCCTTACCTGCATCAACCCAGCGAGCCAGGAGCGCCCCAAGGCACAGGAGGATCCGAGGCTCCAGAGGCTGACCGCCTGCGGCCATGTCGCCTCAGATCCCAACAAGGGTCCCTCAGGAAGCGGAGGCTCTGGTGGGGCTGAGTGTATGCCCTCTAAGCTTCTCCGGGTTCCTTAGAACAGGAAAGGTGTCCCACTTCCCGCAACTCCCACGAAGGATGCTTGCGGCGCGCCCGAAGTCTGAGTCTGGGGAGCCTCGGTGTCCGCTGCACTGAGCTTCCCTTCCCACGAGGAGTTTCCCTCCGGAGCACCCGGGCTGGAGCTGGGAGGGCGCCCGCAAGCCCTCAAGCCGCCTGCTCGCTCCCACTCGCGGAAAACAACTAGAACGCGGCTCCCTCCCGCCTCCCGTGCAGGCGGGAGCCCAACTTCCTCTACCTTGGTTGGAGAGGAGGGCTTTATGCAAAGGACACGCGCCCAGGCGCACCAAGACCAGCTCGCTCGGGGAGGAGCCCTGAGACTGGTCCCTCCCCAAGCCCAATCCGAGGCCTCCCGCTGGGCGCACCCAGCTCCGCCAGGGACAGCAGTGTGCAGTCCAGGGGACATCCAGGCACAGCCCTGCAGCTGCCGCAGGACAGCACCCCCGCCGGGCTTGGAGCACTGGCCGCAAAACCTTGCGGAGCTGGCGGGGGAGAGGAGGGATAGCGTCAGGAGCTGCCAATTCGCAGAATTCAGGGCCCCCCTCGCCATGCAGTCTCAGGGGCTGTGGGGATTCTCATTCGTTTTCCTGGGCGCAGAGCAAACGACCTGGGCCGCCATCACGGCCTTTTCTAGCCTTTGCAAAACGAAAGCAGGCCAAGCGTGAGGGAAAGCTGATCCCTTAGATCTTCCAGCCAAACGTAGCCACGAGACGCCAAGTCTCGTATTAACGGGCAGAGACCACACAGTGAGGGTCATGGCCAACAGAGCAGCGGCCTGGCTGCTCAGAAAACTCTCTGATTTCCAGTTTGCCCTTCGCCAGCCCAGATTTCCAGAAAACTACAATCCGGGACTAGAAAGCCTCTATTTCCTGCCACGCCCCCATCCCATTCCCCATTCTAAGGGAAAGGAATGCTGAGTAGGATATCCTCAACAGCCCACACTTGAAACAGACTCATGAGAAACTTCCCTGTTTAAAAAAATGCAATGAATATTATAAAATGGTCACTGTAGGCTCCAGGAAGTATATAAAAACTCATGGAAAAATTAAATGGAAATTTAATGGATTTTTTTTCCCATAGACATTTTGAAGTCAACACATATATAGGTATATGTGGTGGTGGTGGTGGTAATTATGTGTTGTGGTCAGTTCCAGCTCATAGGAAACCCTGCATAGGGGGTTCCGAGGCTGTTAATCTTTACAGGAGCAGAAAGCCTCATCTTTCTCCCACAGATCCGCTGGTAGTTTCAAACTGCTGACCTTGAAATTAGCAGCCTGACTCATAATCACTAGGTTACCAGAGCTCCTAATATAGGTATATAAGTATTCACTATAACATTCTTACAACTTTTCTGTACGTTTGAAAATCTTCATTATGAAATGGGGAACAAAATGAAAATTGCTACTAAGAAAAAGACTCTTTCTCTTGCCCCTTATTCAAATAGTTCCTTCCTCAATACGTGAAACCAGTTTTAAAAACTGGGTCTCCCAGTGAATAGAACCGCAAAGTGACACCGTGCATCTTTGCTCTTTTCCCTGGTTCTTGTACTCAGTATTTTAACACTCCAGCTAGCTTTCGATAAAGTTTCCCCCTTTTCTTTCTCTCTTAAGTTCTTGCTTTTTGTCTTTTACCTTGTGATCTGAAATAAGTGATATCACAGGCAAACCATGCCTTTCCTCTAGTTCCCTATGAGAGCCACAAAAAATTCCAGATCCATAACCTCAGCTGAAAGCTTGCCAGTAACTGATTTTGTTAATACCCTGTTTGCATTCAGTGAGAATGGAAGGTGTTTACCATAAAAGCCAGGAAACTGCAACATCAAACACCAAGTCACTTTCATTCGTATTCATCAAAAAAGTACTTTGTGGCAAGCTTTTCAGCTAAGGATACGGATCTGGCATGTTTTGCTGCTCTCATGGTACCTGTTGCCAAAGATTTGGCTCTGACTCAGGGTGACCCCATGCCAAACAACAGGATCTACTACTGCTCAGTCCTTCACCACCTTTATAACTGGTTGTGTGTTTGAGCCCATTGCAGCCACAGTGTATTCTGAGTATCTTCCAACCTAAGGGACTCACCTTCTAGCACTGTAACAGACAAGATTATGCTGTGATCCATTGGGTTTTCACAGGCTAATTTTCAAAGGTGCATTGCCAGGCCTTTCTTCCTGGTCTTAACCTGGAAGCTTCACTGAAACCTGTCCACCATGGGAGACCCTACGAGTATTAGAAATATTGCTGGCATTGCTTATAGCTTCACAGCAACATGCAAGCACCACAATACGACAAAGTGACAAACAAGGGTGCCTAGCATGAGGCGCTGCACAGAACCAACCCTCTTGACAGTTATGCTGAGTCACTGTCCAGTTCTTACCAGCTCGCCAGCCCAGAAGTCTCAACCTCATCCAGTATCTTTTAAAACACTAATAATACATCTGCATATGTTCATAACTGGGCCCTTTACCCAAAGGAATTTTAGACACTTAACCTCACTGGGCCCTCCCTGCAACCCTTGGACCTGAGGAACCAGGCCATTTCATTTCATAAATGTGGAACCTGCAGATAAGGAGGTAAAACACCCTGTTACACAGCCGGTTGGTGATAAAACCAGGTCTGGAACCCAGGTCTATCTGACTCCAAGTCCACAAAAATAAAGCTCCAATTTTGTCCCATATTCAAAGGCTGCCAGAGCGGACGGGATATGGGTCTGGCTGCTGTGGGTGTCATAGGGCCAGCAGACACAATAGTCCCAAGTCTGGGCTCAGAGCATCTCTACCACTCAGTGTGGGCAGAGCTGAGACAGGAAATACCTGTCTCTGCAGTTCCAATATAGGTTCGCACACTGGCCCCAGGGCCCCGAGAACTGTGTTTGAATTTCTGGCCACTCTCGGCCTATCTGTATCAGTGACCATTGAGTTGGGGTTTACTATTGCAGTCCCCGCTAAGGCCTTTTAAAGCCCTGGTTTCTCTATCAGCAAAACGGATCTAATGCCCACTACATGGGAGTACTGTGAAGATACAGAGAATTGAAGGGGAACAAGAAAGGACAATGGTCTTTATAGACCTAAGGCATCACTTTGGGGACTATAATTTGAAATGACACCAAGTCAGAGCTCCTAAATCTTGTGATCATATCTTGAACCTGACGATCAGGTCTCTCTGCTTAGCTTGCTACATGGACCTGTTTCGGTTTTATTTCATTTTCACCTGCCATGCATTGCCAGTAGGTTCTTTCTGGCTTTGGCCTATGTACTTTACATATCCTAGTTCATTAGGTCTCATCACAACCTGAGTGGCTGGCATTACCATACCCATTGTACAGATGGCTCGGTGAGCCTACATTACAAAACAAGTGAAGAGTAGAGTCACCATTGGAACCCAGATCTGTAGCTGCATCAGTCTGAACAGTTTTGGAGGGAGGGACAGACCCCAGGACTCCTGCCTGGATCCACAGCCAGCACTTCCACATCCAGGGACTCTGAAGTCTTCAAATAACGTATCTTTATACCTGTTACTTCTGCTCCACTACTCCTCTTGTCCTGGTCTCCTCCCTAGAGGTAGTTGTGAAAGGTTTCTTAGCAACAACCTGCTGCTTGGCTCAACCTAGAGATTATCCTCTTGGGGGCTTTAGAAAGGAAAGGCCAGTGGGGAGCAGCTTGGTATGAGCCTGGTCCCTTAGATCCAGCTCTAAATATCTCACTTCAAGAGGAAAAAGACATGGATGTCAACATCCCCTGGCGTCCCCTCTGATGACACTGGGACCCACCAGTTGGCATGCCAAGGAACAGGGGCAGAACCAACCTGGCTTGTTCTTTAAAGAAGAAAGCCTGCGAAAGCTTCCAATACACCACCATAGTCTACTTCCCTCTGTTCTCTGCTCAGAACAGAGGCTTGGTATGCAGGTACTGTTTCGTGAAAGTTCCTGAAGCCACACAAAGGTACAAGAAGAAGTTGACAAGATGAAATGGGAAAATGGAAAATGGACAGTTATCATATGAGTCCACTATTTCTGAGCAGCGTTCAGGTCTTCTGTTAGGACTGTCGTTATTGCTGTTAAGTGCCGTCCTGTCAGTTCTGACTCACGGTGAGTCACAGCTGGTGAGTTCCACTAGTGACCGGGAAACTGTAGGTTGGGGTCTCTAAGTGACAAAGAACCATGGGAAGGTAAAGCAACTCCCACAAGGCAAAATGCTGTTGGCAGAAGGATCAGGAAAATGGCCACCCAGGTCCTTAAGAAAACGTCGAGCCAGGACTGCAGAGAGGGAATGAAGAGCCCAGCAGAGTGCAGGTAAACGGTTAACTAGATTCTGGGGAGGGGGTATGGAAGAGGTCCTTCTATGTGTGATTTGTGGTGTTTTAATGGTGCGAATACTCCCACTAAAATCAATTTCAAGTTATTCCTGATGTTACTGAAAGATCCTTACAATCAACCCTCCTAAATCAGGACCACTGGAACTGCCCCTTTGCTCCAACTTCATGAAGAAAATAACAAACATCCTGGGACCGGCAAGGCAGGAGCTGAATCACCCAGGAGGAGAACCGCAGGGAGCCAAACAGATGACTCAGGTAGAAAATCCTCTTTGATGGCTCACCTATTGGTTGTCTCTGTTGGTCAAAATAAACGTTGTTTTCCCAAGCCAAAATCGGGGCCTGGGTGCTGACAACCATAGTGTATTTACTTTCTGAGGAAAGAGGGACTAGGTGAGAGCAAGGGCTTTCCTAACACATCTGGGGCAAAGTACCTCCTAGGATGACAATGCTAGTTTTTAAAGAACATTTGCTTTTTCCCTAATTATAAACATAATATGCTCATTTTGAAAAAATGTTTTTTAAATGCAGATAGAAAGAAAATTACACTTAACCACAGCTATCTAGCAATATTATGGGTCGGG